TGAGGGGAGCAGCGGGCGGGTCAGGAGAGGTCTGCCACGCCATGTGGTCACCTCCGGGGCAGGCGGGAATCGAACTCATGCGGAAGTGGCTTTAGTTTCTCAGTGCTGCGCTTTAACCTGCTGTGCCACCAGGGAGGGCCTCACTTCTTTTATTATACACGTAAACATCTTCCACCAGCTTGCCAGTTTTTATTAATAGTTCCTATGGTGACCTTAATTTTTATGTTGATATGGTCATTGAAATTTTCACACAATGATTTGTACTTTTTCTTAGTCCTAATTAATTAGATAAAAAGATATATTGGGGACCCTCCCTGATGGCATGACAAGTTAAAGTGTAGCACTGTGAAGCTGGCAGCAGCCACTTCAGTGCAAATTGGATCCCCAGCCCCAGAGGTGACCCACATGGCACAGCAGACCTCTCCTGACCTGCCCACTGCTCCCCTCAGCAGTGTGCTTTGTCAGACTGCCTATTCTGCTCCCCACTTTGTCTCTGGTGAATCCTCTCACCGCCTCTGCACCTCTGGCTTGTACCCCAGTTCTGTATGCACAAATAAATAAATCTTTAAAAAAAATGCGAAGTTAAAAATATAGGAGGTATTTTTTATTATTAGAATAGTAAAGGTCTTTCTAAGTTTGTCAAACATAGGCATTAAAGAAAAAATCAATACATTCAACTATATAAAATAAAAAATTCTTCAGGTCCAATGACAAATTATATTTATATAAAGTAAGTTCTGGGCTTCTATTCTGTTCCACTGCTTTTGTGTCTTGTGCTGTTAGCTTAAGTCTTAATTAATGTTCCTGTCTGGAAATCTCAAATAGCCAGTTCCCCCACCTTCTTTAGAAGTAATTATGGTGGTTCACAGACCATTGTTTTCTTAATAAATTTTCTCTCCTTTTATTCAAAACTCCTAATAGGTCTAAAAGTCAGCCTGTTTAATTTTCCCCTGATAACCTGATGGAGATTTTGGTTGCTCATTATTCACACTGTCCAGTAGAACTTTCTAGAATGATGAAAATTTACCATTAATTAACTATTGCTTAGTGTAGCTGAGTAACTGAATCTTTTTATTTTAATTTAAATTAATTTAGGCTTAAATTGTTGCCAGAAATACCTTTCTAAACTATAATTATAATCAGTAGCCTCCCTGGTGGCCTGAGGTTGAGGCTCAGCGCTATCACCACTACAGCCAGAGTTCAGTCCTCGGCCAAGCTGACCCACAGACCTCTCCTATCTGTCCCGCTGCTCCCCTTGGCAGTGTGTTTCAGTAAATCTGTTCTGCTCCTCACTTTGTCTAGTGAATCATCTATTCCCTCCACTCCCCTCCCCCCTACACCTCTGGCCTACAACCCAGAATAAAAAAGGGGAAAAATGTTAATAAACTATAATTATGATCATATCACTCCACTTGGTATAAATCTTCCTTGCTCCCAGTCACCTGTGAGTGAAGTTCAAAATTAGAAGCTTCTATTGCTCTGGTTCACTTTACTCTCTATTTGTGCTGCTTCTTATTCTATCATCTGTTTGCACTTTTATCCCTGTCTGTCTCCAGTGTACCTATCTTTATCTCTAATACTTTGTATTTTACTTTACCTAAGTTCAGGGCTTTTCCCTAGGCACTCACCATTTTTCCAGCAGGCCATGTTTCCATACCTTTATTTTTTTTCTCTTTGGAATGTCCTTCACTGTGTTCACTGGCAGTCCCCTTCAGTCTTAAACATATCTCAGTGCTTGGCCTAGTTGCTGAACCCTTGCAGAAAGTGCTGGCTCTCTTCCACATTCCCTCTGATGGCACTGATGCACTTCACTCATCTGCCTCCCATTGGAGTGGTGCTGCATGGTATGGCAGAGTTACTTAATAGAACTTACAAAAAAAACATGCTCAGTCTACGCTTTGTAAATATGTTCAGTAGATCTGGGTCTGAATCTCAAAGAGCTTCTGATTCGTTGCTAGTTAAAGAGCCATTGCTTGGTTAGGTTCCTCTGTAGAAGGGTGACTCAACTCATCTCTCCTTTTCCAATACCTAGACTCAGCGTGAAGTAGAAGCCAGTACACCAGAAGATGATGCTTAGGCTGGAAAGGAAGATAAGGTTCAAATCAACACAAGTACTGATGAAAATTGATTCCAAAGCTTCTTGGGAGCAAGTTAAAGTTGGTTGCTGTTAGGGGAGTGGTGGCATCAAAATGGTGTCTCAAGATTATTCCAGTAGGAAAATACAGCACAGGTATGGAGAAGAGTGGGAAGGAGAGAACAGTTAGATGGCTATTGCAACAATAGAAGCCTGTGTTAAAAATGGGTCTGAAGTAGGAGTAGAACTAGAAAGGATATTGTGAAGGAAGTGATATTGTGAAGGAAGACTCAACAGGATTTGGTGGCTGGTTGATTATGAGTGACAGGAAGAGGGAGGAGTCAAGGATGTCTCCAAAGTTTTGTTGGTGTGACAGCTGAAAGCCTCTGTGCCTCTGACTAACATTGGAGTTATGGCAAGACCATAGCTTTCAGGAAGTGATGAAAAGACGCAGTTACTGGGCTCTTTGGTACCTGACTGCCGCCATGTGGGACTTAGATAGGGCAGGGTCATGTGGGGAGGGGGGAGGGCTTCATGTGTGCTATCTAGGTCAAGCTATGTCTTTCTGGGATGTCTAGCAGAGAGGGAGAGAAGGGGCTGCCTTTTTCTTTTTACTCTAGTTCACTTAGTTGAGGGGTTCAGTTTACAAATGCCACATCTCCCTCACCCCCCATCTTCCAGAACCTTCACCTGGGACATCTGTGGTCCTCCTGCCCAGCCATACTTGGCAGCTGTAGAGTCGCTAAGTCTGCAAATGAATTGTGACCTTTTCCTTGTCCTCTTTGCTCAACTGATAAAGAAGACTTTACCCAAAAGGAACGTTACTAGCAAATAACGGGATAAACACAGGAAGTATAGGGAGTAAACATGTGACTCATTTGTGCTTCTGTAGTGTTAGACTTCCCATGACTCCTTAGGGATGCCTGGACATCCCTTGTAGGAAGTTAGCCTCTCCATCTGTGGGCCAGTCTTAGTCTGATCCGCTCGGTCACAGTTGTATCGTGAGCACTCTTTGTAAGCACAAAAAGTGAGCCCTTGATTGGACAAGGAAAGGAAACATTTTAAAGTGGTAATGACCTTCATAGACAAACAGCAGTGGTCTTTGTCAAAACTGTCTGCACCTCATCTCATGTTTCTGCAGCTTGTTGTATTCCCTTCCCAGGACAGAACAAAGAAGGTGCTTCCTCACCTTTTCCTCAAAAAACTTTGTTTTCTCCATAGTGGGCCTCCCAGGGAATACTCTTGTTTTTAGTTCCTAGGGAACCGGGACTAAGAAGCTCCTGGTCTCTTTGATTCCTGATAAGAGATCAAACAAGACTGACATGTTGAGCCTGCAAAAGATGCTGAGCGAGTTTTCACTACCCTATCCTTCCCAGCCTCTGCCTTTTGGAGAATTCTGATGAGCATCTCATACTCTTTCAAGAGAATCATTTATAGGGCCTCCCTGGTCATGCAGGAGTTACGGCTCAGCTCTGTCAAGCTGTCACCAGCCACTGCAGCCTGAGTTCGATCCCTAGTCAAGAAGCTGACCCACATGGTGCGGCAGACCTCTCCTGTGTTTCCCACTGACCCCCTCAGTAGTGTATTTCAGTAGGTCTGCCTATTCTAGTCCCCACTCTGTCTCTGGTGAATCCTCTTACAACTTGCATCTCTGGCTTGTATCCCAGTTCTTATATGCATAAATAAATAAAAATAAATCTTTTTAAAGAGAGAGAGAGAATAGGGCCCTCCCTGGTGGCACAACAGGTTAGGACACAGCACTGCAAGCTGGCCACAGCCACTTCAGTGTAAGTTCGATCCCCAGCCCCGGAGGTGACCCACATGGCACAGCAGAACTCTCTTGTCTTGCCCACTGCGCCTCCCAGCAGTGTACTTTATCTATCTGCCCTCTCTGCTCTCTACTCTGTCTCTGGTGAATCCTCTTACCGCCCTGTACCCCAGTTCTGTATACATAAATAAATAAATCTTTAAAAAAGAAAAGAGAGAGAAAATAATTTATAGCAGTCTAAATATTACGGTTCTAGCATGTCAAATGGCTTTTAAGCTATAGTAATACAAGGGAAAAGTTTGCTCTTGAATGGTGTGGTAAATTACTGCCTCTCACTGACCACACCACCGTCCTGTAGCGTGATGCCTTTCCCGCTGTCCGCTGAGTCCTCCTATTGAGTGGGAGTGAACCACACTTCATCGCAGATGCTACTCCATATCCCCTGGGGCAGGGGCTTACTTAAGTTCAGGATCAGATGGGAGCTGAGTTCCCAAGTAGGAGTCTGCAGAGCCGGCAGACTCTTAAGTGTCGGGCTTTCTTCTCTGAATTTCCTGTTCTACTGTCTGTTGGGTCCCAGGGACACCACTGCCTACATGTGGCTTTGCCTGCTTTGTCACCAGCCACTGGCATCAGCACACTCAGTACATAGACTGCGTGGAGTATTTTATGCAAAAATTGCAATAGCATCACAACTTTCAATCGCTTAGAATCTCAGAAGTGGCCTCCAAACTTCCATTAGTAATTTCTTAGCTTTTGTCATTTCATCTCAACTCCGTGCTGTAATGAAGCTAGAAGAGAAGCGATAGTTGTATGGCTTCTGAGGCAACAACAGACAGAGCTAGTAAGCCACGCTGCAAAAGCCCAAGTCTGTGTGTGAGAGCATCACACTGGCCCTAAGTATGAGGGAAAGGGCTAGGACATCATTTTATCAAATTTTCAGCACTAGAGTAATTTTTAGTCCTCCCATCTTTTGAAGAAGATTATAAAGAAGAATTGGAAACACGCCTACCCCAAACCAATGAGGGCACCTAAGTCTCTTTGTGGAATGATTGAGGCTGCGTATCTGTTTCACTCTAACTCCAGCCGGGCCTTTTGGTTTCCAGGGAGAAGGCATTTAAGTCTCACTCACCCTGCTCACTTTGTGCTTGACTCCTCCAGAGGTGATTCCTACTTGAGAATGGAAGACTGGTCCTGCCCCCACTTCCTGTGAGCCAGCCAGCATCCAAGTTGCTGTGGGGATGCCTATAAACCACCAGAAATCAGACTCGTCGGAGATGGACCCTGACTTGTCTCTGGGCTGCAGGCTCAGCGACCTGAGCAGAGGAGGCAGTTTGGAGAGTCGAAGTAGCAGTTCTCGCTCCAGAAGCTTCACTCTGGTGAGTGGTTTTCTTGAACGTTGTGACTTTGCCAAGCCCCGCCCCTCCCCTTTAAGGAATATCTTACTAAAGCCATTTGGGTTAATAGCTCCATGTTTTAGAATACCTGCTTCGTCAGTAGTAGTTTATTTTTAACCACCTTAAATTTTGCACAAATACAAGTCGCACACAGCAGTAACATGAGACCCTCCTGCTGTAGCCAGTAACTGGCCTTGTTAGCCTCAGAAAAAAGACCTGTCTGTGACAGTCAAAACCCAGGCAGTAACAGGGTCCCTTCAAATGAATGGAAGAAGAGAAACACTTCCCAGGATAAAAACAAATTCACTTAAAAACAAATTTCTAACCCTTTACAAGTACACTCTCTCCGACGCTAGGCCCAACAAGCTCTGGGAACTTTTACAAAGAGTCTTTAGTTTTAATGTGAAGGGATGACCTTTGTGCCCTTTCCTCTTCATATCCCCCTTTCTGTGCCCCTGCCAGTATATTCATCTTTTAGGAAAGAGACCTTTATATTCATAGAGGGAAAGACAAGAGAGAAATGACCTTGGACCTCACTAATATTGGTCTGTTGTGCATCTAAGTGAATCCATTGTTGGGGCTGCATTCCCAGAAGGCCGATTCTCAGGGGCTTAGTGGAAGGGTTCCTGGTGCCAGCATCTGTGGAAGGAACAAGATTGGGCAGAGAGAAGGTGAGCTGTGGAGACCCAATGGAGTCCCTAGCTGTGTTTCAAAAAGCTGTGGAGTTGGGGTCACCCTTCAGTTGTCTGACCCTGGTCAAGAGCAAAGCCTTTATACCCACTCAGCAACCAGCCACTGGATGCAGGCCACCCCTGCAGGAGGTATGACTTTGACCCAAGTCTCCAAATCCCCTGACAGCTGAGGGCTACTGTCTAAGAGGAGTTTCCCAGCGGATAGGGGTGGGCCCTTCATTCCCTTGGGGTTTTCAGTGGCATATCACACTGACTCCCACAAAAGTTTAGGAGAAAATGGAAGTATTTCTTTTAAGTGAAGGCTATTTTTTTTAAAGATGATGAAAGACTATGTCTGATGTTAAATACGAATATCCTAATTCTTTAAAGACTAGCAGAAGTGCTGTTTGGGATTTCACAGATCTTTACTAATTAGAAACTTTTCTCCTGAGCCAGTCCAAGTTAAAATTTTAAATAGCTGCTTACAGGGCTGTAATGTCTATCCATTCTGCCACCACTGTGCCTGAGGCTGTTCTAAGAGCTTGTCTTTGTCACTCAAGAGGCTGGTTGTGAGTACACAAGTATTCTGTGGTATGCTTGTAAGGAGTTCCTTCTGTAAACATTTTGTAATAAAAGGTATAAGTTGAATGAGAACAAATTGTCCAGATCCTGGAAAACTAGACTAAGAAAGCAGTGTCTTTGGATGTATCTTTTTCCTTTGAAATGAAAGGAAAGCTTACTTTGTACAATATGGATGGCAGTTTGTCTTTACAAAGTTGGTGTGTGGTTCTGGAACTTACTAGAGAGGTAACACAAATTCAAGATAAAACGTTCAAAAGGGATTCAGCTATGGACATACATAATAGTTCTTGAGAGAAACAAAAGAAGCTTTGTGTGATAGCTATATTTATTCTTAACCTCTGAGGACTGCTGCTCAATACTCCTGGATCTCATGAAATAGCTGGCACCCCAGCCAGTATTCTTGGGTTTTTATTCTGAAAAAGGTCCTGAGTCTGCTCTGCCCCTCAGGCCTCATGGAATTTCCTCTACAAAAGAGTATGATTTGACTAGTCAAAAAGAGTGGGACACTCTTCCTACCCACAGTCCTTAAGGAATTTAGTAATAGAGGTGCTTCTCTGAGGGTGAATTGGAAACACCCCAAACATACTTCCTTCTCTTTTTTATTTCTACCTTGAATAAAAAAAAAAACACAATGCTAATTCATTTTTGAGTTTTTGGACATTTGCTGTTCAGTGAACTACCTTCAAGCCTTCCTTCTCCCTCAGGTAACAAATGCTATGGCCCAGAGTCACCTGGAGAGTCTCAGATCAGATGTCAGCTGTCAGCTTCTGATCATCCGCTTCCTTTGGTGTCTCTGTCTTTATCTCTCAGTTATGGATAGGAAGGGAATGGGGCAGTGGAGGACGCTGGCTCCAGGGCTCGGTCAGACTAAAGTGTCAGTAGTTCACTAGAAATCTGATACGCTGCATGCTTGCTGCTCTCAAGGAGAGGAGACACAACAGAGGACTGCAAAGGAGAAGCTGACAGATGAGCAGTCACCCCACCCCCCTTTCGGAATGGCTCTTTACCCAGATTGAAGCAAAATCTTCTTAGCTCTTTTAAGACACAGCTTTTATGAAAGTTCAATTCAGTAAACATCTAGAAAATGCCTGTGACCTACAAGAGCTGATTGCTAATAGAATTAAACATGGTTTTGACCTTTTTAGAAACTCAAAATGTAATGGCAGGAGAGCCCCGAGAGACACATGGACAGAGTGATGATAGGCGCTTAGATGGGTTGATAGCATGTAGGATGTCACGTCCTTAGGATGTTTCATCACCACCTCGCTATAATATTGCAGCTTCAATAAGTATCAGAAGCCAGGAGTCAACATGTAATTCTTTGAAACTGTTATTCTTTAGGTCTGTAATGAAAATGGATATGTATCTCACCCCTCACTGGTTTGTTTCTCTTTCCTGCCAGAAGTACAGGCTTAAGTTAGTGTTACTAAAAACTTATCATAAAGGCCAGTTAGAGATAACCATAATTTAGCCCTTCGGCCTAAACTGTGGGGGTGCCATTGCGTCTTAGGGTTTTTGGTTTTGTTTTAAGAGAGGACTCAAGTCAGCACAACAGCTGAGCTCCATTTGCTTCCCTTGGCCCCTAATCTTTTTCAGGTTTAGGGGGTTCACTCAACAACTTAGATTATTAAATTAACAAAGCCTTGCTCATGCGTCCAGGAGACCAAACTGGTGTTTGTAAGAAGAAAATGTAACACCAAATCACGCTCCACTAAAGCCAATACTCGTGGCTGCTTCCCTAGGGGACTGGTGGTTAAGAGATCTTGGCTCATCTCAAGAAATATTTTTAGCTTTCATAATCTTTTTCATGATTTTTTTGGTCTCACAGAGAGATGAGCTCTGTTTCTTTTCTTTTTTCCCTCATAAGGAGTTGCCACCATTGTCTTCTACTGCAGTTAAAAGGCATTTGCTTCAGAGGAAAGCAAAACAAAAAGAAAAAAAAGCTTAAGAACTTAATTCAATAGTTTTTTAGGTTAGAGCTCTTTTAGTATGAGTATTTTAAGCCTTCTGGACCTTTTTGTTCAACCAAACAAAGATTTTTTTCTCTCTGCCAATTCCCCCAAAGCAAAGCTGCCATCCCAAATCAGTGCTCCTGTAGGTAGGTCTGGGAGAGCTTACTTTAAAACTGGTGGCAGCATTCATTGTGTGAGTCTGTCACCCAGCTTATCTGGATGTTCTCAGAGCTCCAGTGGGACCAGTGGACATTTTTTCTGTCATCTTTGTGTAGGAGTAAATAGACATCAGCTTTGTTCTCTTGTGGGAGACTTGTACAGAGGGCCTTACAACTCCTTCAGTAGATTTACGGTTTTCATTTTTCTGGTTTCAATACATTAGAAATTATTTCTTCACAATCATAATATACACATTACGGTAGAAATGTATGTTCTCTTGCATTCTTGAAACAAAAGAGTGCTTCCCTGGGAGATTTGTAAATATAGCATAAAGGCAACATGAGGGATGGTTTTCAAGGCAGTTCTGTTAGCACCTGGAGATCTGTTACTCATAGAGAGTTTGTTTTTGTTTTTGTTTTTGTTTTAAACACCACAGCTCAAACTGGTGCATGAAAACACCATTTATCAAAAAGGAATTAAAAATAATTTTCTTCTGTCAGCCTACTACCTACCAAATTTGGTTTTTTTCCAATTCACTGCTTCCCACAGAGACTGCTATTCTTGTTTATCCTCCTCATTTCCTAAATAGTTTTTATCCAGTGCCACTTCAAAGCACCCCCCAGTTGCTCAAAAACCACCACAGCTAGCCCTCTGCTTTCTTCCCTCCTCTGCATAGAACCACTGGGCCACCGCCTTGACTCTTTTTGTTGCTATTGTTGTTTTTGTTTTTTTTAAAGTATATAACACACACAATTTTATTGAGATATTCGTACCATACAATTCACCCATGTAAAGTATGCCACTCAGTGGCTTTGGAGAGCCACAGAGTTGTACAGCCATCATCAAATCAAATTTAGAACATTTTCATCAGCCCAACGGAAATGCTGTGCCCACTAGCAGTCGCCGCCATTTGCCTCCAACACGCCAGCACTGGACATCGGCTCCTCTACTTCCTGGCTCTACAGATGTGCCTGTTCTCACTGCTGTGCTTTTTACTCCCCAGCTCTTCCCAGAGCCCTCACCTTCCCCATTCCAGTCAGAGAGGCAGCCTCCCACATTCCCTGAGAAGGGATGAGGGAGCAGGGGCTCCCTGGACAGGACCACGGCCCCTTTTTCTGACCCCGAGTTACCTGCTCCCTTTCCTCGGCACCAGTTTTTCTCTGTTTCTACCTTTTTTCCTTTCCCAGGTGTAAGCAGAGTTCACCTGCACTTGGAAGGCAGCTTCCTCGCTTCCTCTTTGGGGAACTAGGCAACAGAGTGATCCTCTATGCTTTTGGCACTGTCCTGAGACAGGCCTCCCAACCAGGCTGATCAAAAGAAGGTGCCCTCGGTACCTTCCTCTTACCCTGCTCTGACCTCAGCCTCCAACTCTAGGGATGTTAGGTGGGTTGAGGATATAAGAATCTTCCACAACTTGATTCTCCAACACCAACCACCTTGGTTAACGCTGATATGTGTCTCACATTATACAAGAACCCTGAGGCACAACCATGATCTCAGGGAACTGCAGAATAAAAGGTAAGAACTGTCCCAGGATTAGTATCTAGTTGGAAAGGGAAATAAGTAGAACAAAGCAAAAAGCAAGCGCAGAGCTAGTTCTTGTCCTGGCTTCTCGAAAAACAGCTGTGTGATCTTGGAAGTCAAGTCACTGTCCCTGTATTGTTTCCACGTCTGAACAGAGGGAGCTGCAAAAATTGACCCATGTGGCCCTCCCTGGTGGTGCATTGGGTCAGAGCTCAGCACTGCGAAGCTAGCCATAGCCGCTTCAGTGTGAGTTCAGTCCCCAGCCAGGGAGCAGACCTCCCCTGTCTCACACGCTGCTCCCTTCCGCAGTGTACTTTGTCAGTCAGCCTGTTCTGTTCCCCACTGTGTCTCTGGTGAATCCTCTCACCTCCCCTGCACCTCTGGCCTGTAACCCAATTCTGTATGCATAAATAAATAAATCTTTTAAAAAATCATTTAAAACAAATTAATCCATGTGAGTTTAGGTGTTTAGTGTGTGTATATATATATTCTCCCTGGCAGTGTTCTCTGCCTTCTGCTCACCCAGCTGTGCTGTGGCCTTCTGTGCTGGGTTTGTTGACTGTGGCCATCGCATGTAGCCAGATCTGGTTCAGCTGCTTCACTGGGGAGCCCTTGGCTGACACCAAGAGCCTTTGGCTCTTGGGCCATCAGATTCCACAGTGAAGACTCAATCTTCTGTCCTCGGGTATCAATTTGGCTTCATTTACTCCTCATTTACAGCATAGCCCATCATCAATTCCATTTGATATGCCCCTTCAAATCTTTCTTTTATTTTGTTTCAGAATAGACATCTCCTTTTCTGCCTATTTGCTTCTGAGAGGCACTTTCAACCAGGCCTTTTCCTATTCCAACACCTTTGCCAGCCTTCCAGAGCTGCCCAGCCCATGTCTGATGTCTGTGGTGCTTGCTCCTCGGCAGGTTAATTATTGACTTCCCCACCCACCGACTAAACGCCAACTTTCTTGGGTCTTCTGAGCCAGTTACCACCTGTTCTGCTATCTTACTTCCCAAATTTTGTTGCTATCACCACTTTTCCTATTGTTTTTGTCTTTGTGACTTGTGCCTTTAAAAAAGTCTCATTGTTTTAGTGATATTTCTGGAGGGAGAAGAGATAAATATGTGAATTAAATACATTCTCTACTCAAAAAATGTCCACATTGCCATCATGGAGAAGACACATGTGTCTGGAGCAGCAAGTTTAAAAACAGCTTTTCTGAGGAGATGTAGAACAACTTTTAACTCACTAGGAAGCACCAGGCTAGAGCCGTTAATGGGGAGAAGAGCATTAATTTGCCACACCTGTTTGTCAGCCTTCTTTTTCCTGAAGGCCAAGGGTTAGGGACATATGGGCACAGGTGGATTATTGGGGTGACCTGAACAGCAGCTCACCCCTGAGGGGAGTTTTAGAAAGCTCTGACTTCTACTTTGAGCTCTGTGCTCCCCATTTTGTTGATATTTTCTCTTCAGCTAAACTGCTGTTTATTCTCTCCTCCACTCTCAATCCCCACACGTATAGGATGACGAGAGTCTAAAGTACCTCACACATGAGGAAAAGGATGTCATCCTGTTTTTTGAAGAGACTATTGATTCCCTGGAAGATGACTTTGAGGAGCAAGCCCTGTGTGATAGTGGGGTACACTGCCACTCCCTGCGGTCTCTGGAAGAGAGCATTTCCAGTCACTCCGAAACAGAAGATGTCATCGATCTAGTGCCACCAGGACCCCCAGCCGGGAAGCCCAAGTGCCAACCAGAGGCAGCTGAGGCAGCAGGTACTGAGGGAAGCACATGTCCTAGACCCGCACTGGGCTGTCAGGGTCTACAAGCGACAAAGACGCTTCTTTTCGTGGTGTCTCCTGAGTGCGCCAGTGTGGAGGCTGTTGGCATTTATCAGGGTTTTTGTCGGGTAGTTACATCTTCTTGGTAGTTTGGTTGTTTCATTCTTTATTCTCTTTTTGGAATTTCCCTTATGTTTTTGTAGCATATTAAGATGAAAACACACCAAGGGAAATTCCAAAAGAGGTAAAGAAAGACTAATTGGGTGTACAAATATTATATAGAAAAAAGGAAATGGCTTCCAGGTAACAACTCTGCTTGACAAAGAAAACATACACTGTATTTGTATTTTAGCTCTGGCAGCTTAATCTCAATTTTTGTTCAAGATTATACTGCTATTTCTGTAGTATGACTTTCTAGGGTGGAGTATTTGAACTGTTCCAGCTTTAAAGGTTCAAGAAAACAGAAACATATCAGGACAAAAATTCAGCACAGTATTTACTTTATATATTTTGTTTGACTCAGTGTTAAAGGAGAGGTATACTTTTTATCCTTTCATTTCTGAGGTAGAAAGAGGTAGACAAGGGAAAAAAATGGAAAGGGGATAAGGATTGAAAAGGATGAGGGAAAATACTTTTGTTCAGCCAACTACAAAATTTGTCACAAACCTCTGGAAATACATATTTCCTCTTTTGGTATTTAAAGCTACAGAATTTCACATACAGTAGTGATAACATCCAAATGTGGAGGTTAGTCAATATCTATCCAGAGGAGATTTGACACGGATTTCCCATTTTTGTCATAGTTCCTGAATTTGATGTGAATCACTTGATCCTTCAAAAATGTCAGCACATAATGTGCCAAGAAAACACTTTTTGAAAGTCAACCCTTCCCTGTCATTCCCATCAATGCTCTGACATAGACCTTTCATAACAATGCCAAGCGCTGACATGGCGTGAAAGTTTGAGGTTACAAAGATACATAAAACTGGCTCACTGTTTTGCAGCAGGAGACAGGAGTATAAATATAAGCGCAGCTAAGTATTAGTGGATCGATAGTCACTGTATGTTAAGGGTGCAATACAGGTTCCAAAGCTGGCGTGTTCAGCGCTACCTGGGCTGTCAGGAACCATTCGTCTCATGGAGGAAAGGGGATATACCCAGGCAGCCTTCACCTAGAAAAACCTGATGGAGTTGCTGTGTGCCACCCAAACTTCCTGCCTCAGTTCCCCTTTTTTTAAGGTTTATTTTTATTTTTTTACACATATAAGAAACTGGGTTTTAGGCCAGAGGCGTGGGAGAAGGGGAAGAGGATTCACCAGAGACAGAGTGGAGCACAGAACAGGTGGATTGACTGAAATAGACTGCTGAGAGGAGCAGCACGTGAGACAGGAGAGGTCTGCCGCACCATGGGGGTCAGCTCCCCGGTTGGGGATCCAGATCATGCTTCAGTGGCTGCTGCAGGCGTGGTAGTGCTGAGACTTATCCTCCTGCACTATCAAAAAGGCTCTGGCCTCCCCTTTGTACAATCCCTTGGCAAGGTAAGTTATTATCTCCTGCAGCCATGCAGCTCGGGATGAGGGCTCTGTAGAAGTCTGCTTGTGCAGCGCCTCCCTGCGTACTGTGCAGGTCCACTGTCCCCTTCACCCTCCCATCGTGTGGTCGGCCTCAGGCTCCCCTACTTACCGCAGTCACTCTTACTCATTCAGGGAGCCAGGGTAAGGGGACTTTAGCTTACCGGAAGTACTGCTGAAGAGGTTTTCTGTCCCGAAAGACCCTTTTAAATTCAGGGAAAAGGAACTAGAACGTATGTATTTTCACATGTGGTGGGAGCTTATGAGGCTTCTCCCTCACTCCTCAGGGGCCAGACCTGATGGAAAAGAAGACATTCCCACCCTTGACTCTATGAGACAAGACTCTGAAACTCCTCCCTCACCACACTCCAGAGTCCCAGAGGCCTCACCTCCCCCGCCCACCCCTGAGGCTCCTGCCCACCCTAGGAAAGAGCTGCTCTCTCCATCTCCTCCAGCAGAGCACCCCAAACTACCCCGCTCTGTTCCTACACCACTGGTCATCGCCCAGAAAATTTCCGAGAAGATGGCAGGAGATGAAGCCCTTTCACCCACGTCCCCCTGGAAGGAGGGCAGGCCTGGGGAACGGAGGACACCGACATCATTAGCCCCTCGACACGGAGACCACCTCTTGGGGCACAGACATGTGGTACAGCCAGCACCCAAGATCCACCGCTTCCCCAGCAACATCAGTGTGACCAACAGTGCAGGAAAGGACTTCAACAAGACCATCTCCAAGGCGGCTGTCAACGTGCAAGAGCGCAAAGCCCGGGTCCTGGCCAACATTAACGGTGTCTCCTTCCTCTCCGCGGGGGACATGGAAGCTCGAGCCCCAAAGAGTGACCACACTGAGCAGAGGAGCATCTCCCCAGAGCAAGTGATGCGTGACCAGAGCAAGCCTGGCCCCAAGGAGGCTGCGGGAGGACAACAGTCCCGGGCCGTGCAGACGGAAAGGTCCCCGCCCTGGCCCAATGGCTTCCAGAGCATCCATGAGGTCCTGAAGAGTGAGTCTAGTGCCTTTGTCTCGACTGGAAAGACTGTCACCTTCCGGCCAGACCCCACGCTCACCAGCAAACTGGCTCGTCAGAATGCCAGCAAGAGCTTGTATGAGCCCCGGCAGCCTGACTGTGGCCCGGATGCCAGGAAGCGTTCGGGCTCCCTGCCCAGGGCAGGGGGGTTCAGACCCCAGGGCATCACCGTGCAGTTCTCTGGCCGAGGCTCCACCGAGGAAGCCCGAAGGGAGGCCCTGCGGAAGCTCGGCCTGCTGAAGGAAAACTTGTGATGGAGGAGGAGGGGCCCTGGCCTGGAGGCAGCCACATCTCACAGAAGGAGCCAACATACCGATCCCCCATCCTCAAGAAAAGGGGTGAAATGAAATGGTAGCATTAATACGGGGTTATCAGAACTGCTGGCCTAAGCTGGAAGTGCATGAAAGGGACAGTGGAAGGGCCACCTGCTGTCCCCTGCTGAGGACTCAGTGGTCCTGCTGATCAAAGAACTGTCAGTGCGAAGTGACAGCCCATCCCACCCCAAGCAGGGAGGTCCCTTGTAAAGAGTTGGGCCTCACACCACCTTGTCTTCCTCTGCCTAAAAACACAGAGCATGACCTTGAAAAGGTCGTATGTGTTTTGGATTTAGGAGCGGAGAAGGATTGGGTCTGATCTGTTACTCTTGACTGTCTATTCTAGCCTTTTATCCTAAAAACAAGGCATGAAAGCTAGTTTAGATCTTTTATACTCCAGTTTCTAAGAAAGGGATTGCTCTCCTTTTCAAAGGAAATTTTAAAATGTACATATACTCGTTAAACTTTAGTAGTATCTTAATGTAACTAGTGTTTGAAGAGTAAATGATGGACTGTTAGCCCTGGATATGCCTTTGTTTCTTAATAGTTGGTTTGCCCCGGTTTCTTTTCTTTTTCTTTCTTTTTTTTTTTTTGAAAATGGAAACAAATCCTTTAGAGTATGATTTACTATAATTGTGAGTTGTGGGATTGGAATAGAAAGGTTGAGTTAGGAATAGGTGGTAATTTTGAGAAAGCAAGTCTCATCAGACTACAGGGTCTGTGTTACTGGGACACATATATATGAGCTTGTATTGTGTATATAACATGTACATAGTACATATTTATAGGTACATATATGTCAACATATACATGCATAGGTACTGTCCACACACACACATTCATTCGAACATAGAAACTTCTTGAAACTCTGTTACATGTTGCTACTGGATGCAAGTCCTTGCTCTTCTCCTAATGGACACAGCCCTCTCAGCACTGTGATGGACAGTGGTCACCTCCTCAAGTGGAAGTCTTTTAAGGACATATCTTCATAATATTTTGTAAGCCTAAGTGCTTTTTCCTCAGCCATATGTTGAAGAAATTGGAAATAATGTTCTAATTAATTTTCCAAATGAGCAAGATAGTCACATTTTTTAGTGAAGACATTCTTGAAGATTTAATTTATCACCTAATTTTAACTTATCACTTCATTTTAGTTTTGCATGTTCCCAGGTAGCTTAGTAAATAGAAGGAAACAAGATTCTTAAGATCCCCACTTGATTGTGTTGCATGAGCAAGATCTCAGGATTAATTTAAAAGGGAAAAAGAAACCCAGCAAACTGGGTTACAGTACATGAAAAGAGCTTGTTTTCTCCCAGACTGTGTCTCACATGCTGAGTGTAGCCGCAGCATTATTATCCAAATTATTTAAGGCTAGAGTCTTAAACCTCTAAAAATAAACTGGGAAGGGCCACTTAGAAACCACGCCCTTCTGTTGTTCTGCCTCAGCCACAAAATCTGTTTCTTTCCTCTTGAGTATTATTTAAACTTTAAATGCGCTGTGACAACTATTTTCATAGTATTCGATTTGCCTTGTAAGTTACATAAAGTGATTGTGATTTTTTTCTTGAAACTACAGTGTTTAGTATCTATCTCATCTGGACCTTGTCTTCCTGAAGTAATTTTCTAGATTCTTGATCATTTTAATTTAAATAAATAATTTTCCTTTACAGGTTTTTTAAAATAGTTTTTATTTTCTTCCTGTTTAGGTCGGATTTGTATAAAGGATACCTGAGAGCTCAGTTTCCTCTTCTCAAAGGGAGATGCCATACACAGTATTTAAAAAAATAGAGGGTCTTGATGTAGCTAACATTTTCAACATCCTTTACATGAGGATTATTTCTTTTTATCTTATCCTGTGACTTCATTGTGATTAAGATCACTCGACTGTATATAGTATTTTTGTTCTCATAATGGCATCTTTGAAAAATAAATTTAGTTATCTTAATTATAATCAACTTTGTTTTGCATTATGTTTTTATTCTCTGATATTTTCCTTTAAATGGTTACAATCTTTTCTTCTACTTATTTATAATTTCTTTTATCTATTTATTTTGATAGTACTGACAGTTACCCTGGTCATTTCTTGTGCCCACAACTCTAGTAATTAAAGCTATATGTTTTGTGCAAGGTCAAAATTATGGTTGGTAGTGAACTAACCTATGTGTATATTATGTTAACAAAAACAACTAATGGGCTGAGAGACATCAGATTTCTTGCCATAAGTATGTGATAGGACATTCTTAAAGGGTGATCTGGTTCAAGGAAATTTAAGGACCTATTTTTTTGGTTAAGATTTATTTATTTATATGTACAGAACTGGGGTACAGGCCAGAGGTAAGGGAAGTGAGCAGATTCACCAAGGACAGAGTGGGGAGCAGAACAGGCAGATATACTGAAATACACTGCTGAGGGGAGCAGCGGGCGGTCAGAAGAGGCAACTCAGATCCTCCCTGGCCAGGGAACCAACTCGTGCTCACAGTGCTGTGTTTTAACCTGTGTGCCACCAGGAAGGGGCCTTAGGATCTATTTCTTAGCAAAATTAGAATGAGAAGGAAATGAAGGCTTTTATGTTATGGTGATATTATAAAACAAGCTCCAATTTTATGAAATTCTATCTTAATAACTAAAGTTAAGAGGGAAAATTTCTCTTGCTTTTAGGAAGATTTGTGCAAATGGCCAAACTCCTCTCAGCTGTGTGACTCTGCAGTTCCTGGGCATAGGGCTGCGGGCTCCCCTCCCCGCCCCCATATTTGTGTCCTGGCACCCACCCTTATCTGCACAAAAAAAAAAAACGGCAAAATTCTAATCTTTGCATTCTCCCCCGAGCACACTTGCTCCTCTTTAGGGCCCCGATGGGGGTGCCCCCCCCCCCCCCCGCCCGGGCTGCCCATGCTTCCCCCCTCGGGAACACAGCTGACTTTAGCAAGATTGGATCTGTCCCTCAGAATTCCTGCCTGGTGAGCTGCCTGTGAAAGGAGCTTCCATGGAGTGCTCAGGGGATTTGATAAATGAGGCCTCAGGGAGCGGCTATGATTGGCCTTTTTTTTTTAAAAAACATAAAAACAAAAAACTTAGAAATGTATTTTCTTATTTAATTCCCACAGCTCCGGTTAGGAGGAATTTGCCCTGTCAAAGGGTATGGTGGGGATGTGTTTTATAGCAGTGAGCTAAGAAATCTGTTCTGTTTATTTATTAATTTTTTTCCAAGAGGAACGAAGAGAAATAGGGTAGATGAAAAGTGTGGTCATCAGGACTTCTGGCCCTAATGTGGCTGGCAGTAAAGCCGCCCTTTCTCTCCGGGCGTGTTTTATAGCCCTCCCAAGCTCGACAAACTTTTTCCCCCTGAAACTGCTCCCCGGGCCTCTTAGACATCTGTCACCAAATAACAGTGCCCTCGGAAGGGGCGGCTGGGCTGTGCAGCTCTTCTGGCCCAGCCTGTGATCCCGCCTTGGCAGCAGGAAGGGGAGTGTCCGGGAACGCTCACCTGTGAAAGGCTCGTGTTTTCACCGAAACGACAAGTTACCAAACAGGTTTTGTTTCTTCTCTTCACAACAAGGCTTTTCCCCTGCTTTATAGTACGAGGAGCAAGTTCCCATATCCTGTTCTAATCTACTCGCTGGACAAGCCCTGCTTTCAGATATCTGAGAAAACAGAAGACGGAGCCTTCCTTAAGCGACCAGGTCCTGGGAAAACCGGCAACTCTGGTGGCCCCCCCACCCCCACCCCCAGTGACCCGGTGGCCCTCCCCTCCCCCAACCCCTCTCTCATAGGCAGAGTGCTACTGGGGGGAAAACCCACTTCTGCACCCCTAACAGGACATGAAATAAGGGCAGGTCACCTCCTAACTTCTTAGCATAGAAACTGTCAGCCTTTGGATGTGACATCGCCGCATTCTAAAGTGCCTCTTTATTAACATATGTATAAAACACACAAAACTCTTTCCTACACATTCTGAATTCCTAAGGCTTAAGAAATGTCAATCCTTGCCATCACTCTCAAGCTCACACTCTCTCCTAGTTATTGTCTTTCTAGCGGGGACCACTAGGGACCCTGACCCAGTTGGAACCTGCCCCCACCTGGTACAAGCCTGCTTCTGTATAAAGATTCACGTCAGGTTCCCTCCTTATCATCTCAGCTATGTGGCATTTCTGTTCAACATGAAGCCAGAAAGAGGGAATGTGGTGATTTCCAGAAATGACAAGGAAAAAGTTGAAGGGCAAACTCAGATTCTCCAACCTGGAAGGGGAAGATGGGGAAAGAACAATATTTTGCCCTAAATGGTAAAAGCAGGGCCACCTGCCTCTGACAGAAAATTGCATCATCATGGTACACCCTCACAGTATTGACTCATGCCTCCTGAATTCCCTGACTTTCCCCACTAGATAGGTCTGCCCTACCCCTCCCCCCCCAACAGGCTTGTCTGCTTTGGGGGCACAGTAGGGTCTAGAGCACAGATCAGTCAGGACTGCTGCAGCCCCACTGGTTGAGTTCAGGGTAGGATTTCCTGATTTCCTGCTGTTTCAAGATTCCTGAGGCTACTACTATTTCCCAGCTTGGCATGACTTCGAGGTCCAGGGAGGGGCAGGGGAGACTAACCCTACTTATGAAAAGGGCTTCAGGGTCTACTTTCTGGGGACCGGAGTTCCTAGGTTGGTGACTTAGGTTCAGATTTCCCTGGTCACCTGTACCCCCACTCCCAGGCCTGCAGGAAAGGCTGTAACTGTGACTGTTCCTCCTGGACCTTAGGTAAGAATTCACATTGGGAAGCAGAGGTCAATGAAACTTAGTCATTGATAAACAGGTCGCACTTCATAAACTTCAAGCTCCAAGTATTTGTGTGCTAATGTGAGCTGCCAAGAGTCGTAATGTAAATTCTGGAAATACCTTTAAGGGGTGGGGCTGACGGAACAAGAATCCAGGTGTCAGATGGAAAGGCTCCCGGGAACACGGGGGCTTTGTGAGCCTGCGCCTGTGCGCCTGCGCGTCTGCACGTGCGGCTCACCTGCTTCCAGCTGACAGACTGGCTGATCCAGTGCCTGGCATTCTTGACTCTGAGTGCCTGTCTTGCTCCTTTTTGTGAGGTATAGTCCCTGTAAGTGTTGGAACTTGGAGCAAGAGGCTTGCCCGCGTGTCTAAAGGTGCATTCCACTTTCTGTGGCCTTTATAAAGTGACATAA